TACATATTTCCGGATTCCAGATTCTATCTAACATGAACAAAAATCTAAAAGAGCTTCTATGCACAAAGACGAAAGCTAAGGCATGTTATATCTCATTACCAGTATTATTTCCTTTTTTCCTGGTTGGAATTTCCTTTGCCCTCTGCAAGATCTTTGAAGTAGTCTCTATAGACATTGATGTGGTTTCTGCCTTTACCAAGTGAAACCACAAACCAAAACCCTTGTTGCAGAGATGTTCTTCTCATCCCTACCCAACCCACCGTGCATTTGAGTGTCTGTGGCCACTTTATCCATGCTGCCACCACCCTCATACTTCCCATTGCCACAACAAACTTGAAAATCATCTAATTTGTGTAAACTATTTGATGTACTGTAAGAGGAAGTGAAGAGATCTCTTCACATGGAGATCTACCAACTGCTAATATCTCTACTAAAATTAGGCTGACGGAAATACTATTCTCCTGACTAGAACTCATGATGGAAAACAAGACATTCATCAGAGAAGCCTTGTTAAATGTAGCTTCCACTTAGCAGAGAATTTTATGAGTGTGTCTGTGGAGAGAACATGTTGTGAAGTAAGAAGGTCCCACTGCGTTAAAGATGTCTAGCAACAAAAAAGAACCCCTACTCTGTTAAAGCATTTTCTATATTTGTTTAAAACAAACAGGCAACATTGTCAATGATTGTCTTTAGAAGTATATCTATGCTCAGTATTTGGGACTGAGAATGCTGAACTTCTGTAATTCCATGTAAAATGGTAGATGCTTGGAGGCCTCGATTACTGCTACACCCCACAGAAAACATGCAAAAAATGCCATTCAGCTGTTTAGTCAGGCAATGAAATAACTGGAAACAGACTTACTATGCATAAACAAAAGTAGATTTTAAGTAAATACAGCAGCTGTCTTCAATTTGGGTTTTTTTGCTCTTTTTTTTTTTTTTTTTTTTTTTTTTTTTTTCAATCAATCTGGTATGTTACTGCTTCTGGGTAAGGTAACTTTAATTTTGAAATGTTGAAAGCTTGTATTTTCCATATTGCTGACACGTGAATATGAAGTCTATCTTATGTTCCAGTGCTCTGTTAGAAGCTGATAGATGAACTATTGAGTAAAATGTACCTACTATGCAATGAGGTAAGAAAAAGTTCCTAAGGCAGGTGGCTTTAAAACAAAAGCTGAATTGCAACTCATGCCTTTGCTAACTACAGCAAATGTCTCCTTTGATTCAGGTTATTTAATTTGATTATTGAAGTTGCTGTGAAAATGTTGCAGTTACTAAATATATTTTCTTAGATTATGGTAGAAAGCGATGGAAAGGAAACTTACATCTGATTTTTTATTTTTTTCCACAAAGGCATAATAAAATATAAATTAAGCATCTCCCCATTTACCATTAAAACCAGCTAGAACTACCTATGAAGCTATTGTACTTGTTAGCAGTGGTCATGATTTCTCCCTGAACATGGAAACTAGACTTTGATCATGTGGTCTCCTACCGCCATCTACTGTGTACAAGGAGCTATACACGTGCCAATGGTGAAAGCTGCCTATTTTCCCTTTTAATGCAACATGCCCTTTCTGCATCACAGTACGTGATGGAAAACATAGTGTTTGTGTTGTTGTTTTGTTTTGTATTTTACAAAATATAGAAATTGCATTCATTCATGTACATTGCAGCAACACACAGGACTTTAATGGTTGCACGGCTTCATCAAGCCATTGCTGTCTGAGTAGGCATTTCTGTACAACTGTATGGGCACATGCACACACACACACACGCACATACACACACACACAGAGTGAAAGGCAGGCCCAGCTGTGTTAGTCTTAGTCACACCCGTGGAAACATTATAAATGAAAACACATTACTGACGGCTTACTCTATGTCCAAGAAGCTGCTGAGTGCTTTTCCCTCCCGGCGTGACTGTAGAATCATAGAATCATCTAGGCTTGAAAAGACCTTCAAAATCAGCAAGTCCAACCATAAACCTAACTTATCAAGTCCTACCACTAAACCATATCCCTTAGTGCCAGATCCACTCAACTCTTAGATACGTCCAGGGATGGGGACTTTACCACTTCCCTGGGCAGCTTATGCCAATGCTTGACCACCCACTCCATGTAGAAATGCTCCCTGATATCCAATTTTATCCTCATCTGATCCAATTTGAGAACATTTCCTCACGTCCTATCATTTGTCAGCATGATGTGTCTGCAAAACAAAGGTCAGTAAATTCTGATGCTGCAAAGTCCTAGTGAGCACAGTAATTTGCTTCCACAAGCCAGGTGAGAAAGCACTACTCAGGGAAAGTCCCCACCTTCCTTTTCCAGTGCTAAGATCTGAATTCCACCTTTCTTTTGTGGAGCTAAGTTTCTTAGCTAAATTGCACTCAATTCATCATTGAGTGGTGGCATAAATTCAATTACTCCTTCCTCCTGCTGTATTTGCCCTTCATACAGATTTATTGCACCTAGGTAACACGTGCTGTATAACACAGAGCACTCAAGAGAGAAAAGACTTAATCTTTCTGATCTTCTGTACATAGAACAAGGCTGTGTTTCTTCCACCAACCTTGCTATCTGCCTCTGTGGCTCAAGTTTCACTTGAGCTCTGGGTATGAGATTGTCACTCTGTTCACTCTCTGCTTTTCCGTGTTTTCTGGGAGAGCTCAGGTAATCCATTCTGCAATCAGAACTTTCGCATACTAGCATAAATTCTCTTCATCAGCTCTTTTGGGTTAATTAATGCTTTTTCCAAGTGAGCTTCGAGTTGGGAGTTAGGAGAGATTCTTCAGCAGTGGGTGATGGACACCAAACAGGGCAGTGATCATGGTCCTGAGCTGCCGGAGTTCAAGGAGTATTTTGGCAATGCTTTCAGATATATATAGCTTACAGTTTAGGTGGTCCTCTGTGGAGCAGAAAGTTGGACTAAATGATCTGTGTGGGTCCTTTCCAACTTAGAATATTCTGTTTCTTCTTCCTCCATATGCCTTCTCACATTTAAAATCTCTCTTTTTGCCTGTGGCAGGACTCCGGAGTTTGTCTCACAGATTCCTGTTGGCCAGATCCCAGCACACTGATTCAATCTTCCAAATGAGTATTTTGCTCTTCCCTGCTAAGATCTTGGGTGCTGGATTTCTTACAGTTTTCAACTGAGAGCCACTCTGAAGTCCATATTGGAGGGTGCTTTTCTGTAATCCTTTTGCTCCTGCATTCCTTAAAATAGCACAATATACTGTGATCTTTGTCTCAGCACACGTGGGAGACGACCAGAAAGTAAAGGTGTCCTATGATGAAGTGTTATTTAAGTAGTTTAAGTTGATTGGGTTTCATTTCCTTGTGATTTCTGACTGTAATAGAGAGTGGTAGCGTTCCATCATTAAAGCCAGCTGCACAGCCTAGAAAAATGAGACTGTGCACCTTAGGAAGGGGTGGAGACAGGATTTAGTGTAACCATAAAAAAGATCAACTCTCATATGATTTACTATAGTTTATACAAAAGTTTCTCATTCACTCATAATGAACTGACAGACAGAAAACATCATGCAAATGGAGTAGATTAGAAAAATATTTTTAGCATAGTTCCTAAGAAAGGAAGATCTCTATTTCTTGTTGCTAGGAAATGTGAAGGCAATAGAAAAAGGGGCAACAGAATAAAGTAATAGAAGTATGCTATGACATTATCTGTATGGCCTCTAGAGATCATTTGTAACAGATTGAACAGCATTACTCAACAAGAGTCATGATTCAGCTTGATGGAAGAAAATTCTTTGAATTGCTTGTAACGTATGAACTCACACTGCAACTAAAAAATACATGGCATCTGGGATAAAAATATGCCTGGACTCAGAGAATAATCTAAGTATCTTCAGTGGTTGCTCACTGCACAAATGAAAAGGTCCATTGTCTGCACCTGCATGTTGACACCTCTGGCCTAATGAATTTAATGAAGAGGAAATTCTTGTTGATGTATTCTTTTGGGCATGACTTCAACTCATATAAGGTAGCATGTTAAGGCTCAGAAAAACTGGAGGATTTTATTAAACTATATTAGTGCATTAATTGAATTAATTTTGATTTTAGCAAAAAAGTTTTTATATACATATATATATATATATCCTGCTTACTCTGAAATGGATGTGGTTTGGTTTTTTTGGGTGTTTTTTTTTTTTTCCTCCTCAGAAAACTGTAAGCACTGTGAAAGTGCTTACAGATTGGTTGAGATTATTTTGAGGAGAACGGGATATAAGAGATTAAGTAAGCATGAACTCATTTCAGGAGACTTGTGTTGGGAATGATTGAAAGTTTTCTTCAGTGTTTGCTGCCTCTGTGCCTTAAAACTTGCGGAACATTGTAGTGATTTTTACTTGAGTCAATAAAGTCCAAAGAACTATCTTCTTGTATAAGTGAATTCACTGTAAAAACATGTTAAACTTTACTAAAGGCTGAACTTCAAATTAGCATGATTTCTTTTGTCCATTTAAAGAGTTTCATAAACTGATGAGTTTACATCAAATCTCATTTGAAGTAATATTTTCAAGCTTCTTACACATTAGTTTGAGAGAACTAGGAATAAAAAGCCAAGGTACAAATCACAATACAGTATCATAGAATCATGGAATCACCAAGGTTGGAAAAGATCTACAAGATCATCCAGTCCAACCATCCACTTACCACCAACAGTTCTCACTAAAATCTATGAAATACATAAAATACAGTCTTAACCTGGCCTTTGAAAATAACAGGATGTCATTTCATGGTTGGCATACAGTTTCTGATGAGTATTTCTGATCTTCAGACCAAGGAATATGTGCCCCTTGCAGGACACTTAACACGCAAAACAGTAAGTCTTGCATCTGATCTACACTAAATATTATTTTCAGCATGATCATAACTATAAACCTCTGTGGGCTAACCTGAAAATTGTAGAAAGCAAATCTGTCAGAGGAAAATGTTTTTAATATTATTATTTGGAATAGCTTATTAAGAACACATGGATGCTTTTAAGTTGTGAAACAGATGAATTTATTACAGTTTAAAATACCCATTAAAGGAAATGCCAACAGAAGACTAGTCTTAAGGCATCACTCTCCAAAATTAACATTTTTTTATTTTCACAGAATTTGATTGGTAGCCAGGTGGTTAATGCGTTAAGTGGAGGTCGTGAATCAGCCCATGAAAGAATTTTGCCTTCAGATACTTGGTAACATGTGACTTCTCAGTTATGTCCTTTCCAAGTACTTCATCAGAGGAGTGCATTAATAGCAGTAAATATGCCATATCTTAACCATGGAAGCTCTCCAGGATTATTTTTTTCATTTCTTTACATATATCACACTCATATGCTTGTACATGAGAACTATCAGTGCCTCTTCTTGTTCTCCAGTCATTCTCAGTAACTTTTCGGAGACCGTCATTGTAGATTAAAACAAAGGCTGGAAAACTTCTGCTCCGTATTAACCACACAGCAGTATGATTTCTTTTTTAGTACATCTCACATAAATGTAAATTTCCTTCCTATTCCACTTTAGTTTTGAGCTTCCTGTGTCCAGGAATGCATAAAAGGGGAAAAAAAGGGAATAGACTTTTATAATGTATATTGTGCAAAGATGATTAGAAAACATTTTTCATGCAATACAGTTAAAACTTCTACGATTTGTGTCCACCATCAAAAGCTTTTAGTATAGTGTTCCAGCCAACTAATTGCAAATATCAAATCTTGAAACAAAGTTGCCAGCTTCTGCTTCATCCACGCTCCTTGCAACTTAAGAGTAGGAGTTCAGGTTTAGTGTTGTCCATTGTCTTCAAACTTTTCAAACTATTTCCAGGTTGTATTTTCTCAAGTTTAAAGCCAATGCAACTTATCAGACTACAACAAATGAGAAAGACTATGGCTCTGCCCAGAAGGGAATAACTGAGGAGGTCCACATCTTTTAAATGTTTCTGTAGATTACTTCTATTGCAGTATTTTGAATACATAAAACAATATAAAAATTACAAAATAATGCAAAAAGGAAGCAGGAATATTGCTGCTAGTATTTAAAATGTTTTGGTGGATGCTTTTAAAGATGTTGCAGAATTAATGGTGTGGGTTCTTCATAGAACTTGAAACCCCTGCTCCTCTGCAATGTTTTCCATAATAAGAAGAAACATAAAATATTCATCAATTCAAAATACAGCGTTCTCTGCTATCAGGACTCTTCATGTATTTCTGTTGATATTCTTAAAGTAACTCTCTAAAAGAAAAATAAAAACAGATCAGCTTAAGATAAATTAATTTTACAGTTCTGTGATATACAAGGAATACAAGGAATTATAACAACAAAATGCATATTTTAATGCAATATGTACTGTGAGAAATATTTGAAAATAATGAAGGATTATTTTTCTTATAGTCTGGTGTTTCGTTTCCTGGATTAATAGTTTGTCTTCCTGTGACACTGATTAAGACAAAAAAAGAGAATGCAATAAAAAAATGTCTTCGTCAAACATTGACACTATATGCCATGTTATTTTATAGCCTGTAAGTTAAAATATATACATTTCATTTAATTCTATTGCTTTCTTTTATTTATTGAGATCATAATGTTATATGTAGTTAAACTTTCAGTGTTTGAATTTTGTGATTTGAAGAGAGCCATTGATTAAGTTATTCTCTGAGCACTATGGTACTGACTGCAAATGTGTATCTGCAAGGTATGACTTCAGTGGTAAAATCAATGCTATCAGAAATGTAATCATCAAACCATGGTGGACTGGCAGTAAATACAAGAGAAGACAAGTGATAAATTTGATGACGGTACTTGAATATTTTTTGTCAGTTTTGGAAGACAGTTACAGGCCATTAATATAATTCATTCTGCAATTTTGATAAATTACATTTTTTTCAATACTTTTATTTCAGCATAATCTAGATTTCATTTTAATATGGGAAAACCCTACAGCCATAGCCTATTCAGTATTATTAGTCACAGAATCACAGAATGACTTGGGTTGGAAGGGACCTCAAGGATCATGAATCTCCAACCCCCTGCCACACGCAGGGCCACCAACCTCCCCATTGAATACTAGACCAGGCTGCCCAGGGCCCCATCCAACCTGGCCTTGAACACCTCCAGGGACGGGGCATCCACAACCTCTCTGGGCAGCCTGTTCCAGCACCTCAGCACTCTCATCCTTAGCTGAAAATTGATTTTCACATATGCTCATGAAAGTTATGTATGGTTTATATATGGATAAACCACGTATGTGTTAACTATTCCCATGCTTAGCAAGCATGTAAGTGAAAAAGCAAGTTATGCTAATTACAAAATTTTATGTGATCTCATGTAAAACTTCAGCTTTATGACTTAGAGGGCTCCCACTATTTTCCTTACCTCCCATCTCCAAAAGACCTGGCTACAGTTTCCAGCAATTTATAGCAGCACCAGTTGGCTCGCATATGTGATCCCAAGTAGTTCTTCAGTTACACAAGTATTTTGTATCTATAATTTTTAACTTTCTGGGAATTGTGTGAGAGAATGGTATTTGTGAAAGACCTACATATGTGATACAGTGTCCACAGTGATTTAGTTCTTAGTTATGATGCAAAACAGCATTTCTCTGTCTTTTCTATCTTTAAATGATGCAGCCATGATATGGAGAAATCAAATATCCGGAACTGTGAGATGGGCAAGGAAACAATGATCTTCCTAACATGTACAGTGGCATCTTCAGTAGGCACTTACCATAAGCAGTGTTTTTTTATGTTTTTTGATGTTTTTTTACAAGTTCTTCTGCTGAATTTAAGCCTCACATATTCATATTTTCAGCACTTAATATCCCTGCACTGAATCAAAAACCCATGAAACTGCAGCTAAAATATGATGGGTAAGCAAGAAAATGTGGGAAGAGTAAGCTGAAGAAACTAAGCTCAAGTCACATAAAAGTGTTTTCTTTTTAACTCATCTAATATTTTCTCTTCTTATAGTCATGTTTGATGAATCACCAGAAACTGAAGTCACTCCAGCTACACGAAACAAAATGTTTTCATGTTAGTGCTATTCAAAACGCACTTGATATTCTTCACATTATGAGGGAACAGGTATCAAAATATGTAATTTATGGAAATAAATGAAACAGCTACATTTGAAATAAAGTGCATTATTATATAAAATACCTCAGGTAGAAAGAAATGCAGTTTGAGTTGCAGCATTTGTTTTGGTGTTATATACTCTTTTAAGGGTCTCTTTCTACAAAGCCATTATTAAATACAGATACGCATTTATTGAGACATTTTCAAGACCAAACATCTATTAAACTGATTTATAACACTATTTTTTGTTTTAAAAAACAGAGGAAAATGTATTCACAAGGTAGGCAGAAATGGCTTCTCACAGAAAATTTGTTTGTGTATAGCTTTGGTATTTCTAGCTCAGATAAAGAGTAGCAATTTTCTATTGTATTTGTTACTCAATTCATAGTTTTCAGTCACTGCTAAAAAATTCAGATACCAACCTGAAAATCTTTAATGAATGTTAAGAAGAAGAAGACGAAACCAAAGGCCACTGTCCATTCACAGATTGCACTCATGAAATGGTAAGTATAATCCTGATGGAATGAGGCACAAAATAAATTTTCAGAAAAAAACAGCTAAAAAAATAACTTTGGAATGTTATAAAAATAAGCTTGAGAATAGAAATTCTCATTGATGTACATGGCAGAAACGTAAAATATTTTGAAGTAAGAGGGACTGCTTAAATTTTGCCATTAAACTTTTCTTATTATTTTGCATAAGAAAAGGAGATTCACAATAATATGAAACTTCATAAGGTATGTGTAAACAAATCCTTACAAACACCTTTCTACTCCCATATTTTTGTTTGCGGTATGAAAACAGTTTTTATTATTTTTTTGCATATAAGACATCTTCTAAACCTGTAAATTCTGATGATGAATGTTGAAAAGGTTTTATTCCAGGCCACAGATTAGATAGTCTTACAGTGCCACCAGGTAGTGTGGTGCTGGGAGTTCACAACAAGTCTGTCAGAAGCTTAGTGCTCTGAGGCTTTGAAACGAGTAATCCCTAAAAGACAGTGTATGAGTTGAGAAAGGAGTCCATGTGCTTCAAATGATAAATCACTTGGAGAGATGTGTTCCAAGCTTATATAACAGGATCCTGGACTCTTGTTTAGGAGCTCCAACTTTACAATAATTAAACAGAACAGTACTATTCAAATACATAAAGATACATTCAAATACATACTATGTGAGCCTATATCACTGTAACATAAAAGATAATATAAAAGCAATAACAAACCTAACAATCTTCTAAGCAACTTATACTCACTAAATTTAAGTGTGTTTCTTTTCCATCAATGAATCCACTGTGCTTGTTTTATGAATAGCTAGCATTGTCACCAAATGTTATGCTATTTTATTTCAAAGGGAAATGAAACCTGATTTCGTATGTAAAATCACATGTAGTTAGTTCAAGTTTTTATAAAGATAGGTATTGTTAAATGAGAAACATTCATAAATTCAATAAATATTCTAAGGCTTACAACTCATCATCCTAATGACTTATTGTATAAAAGTTAATAGATTTCATTGGTAGAAAATATTAAGTATATTTATCAAGACTGTATATATCCCATTAAACAATATGTCTTGTGCATAACTATGCAAATGCATGATGTATCTATAGTGTATAAATATGTAAGAAAATTACAGTTAGCACAAGATCAACACATAATTTTCACCTGAAAAATATATGTTCATATGTAAAGAATATCAAAGTGCCCATATTCAAAACTTTAACTCAGAGTCACTGAGTTCAGTAGTACAATCCCTTACAGGAAATTCTCACAACGTTTTTAAATGGATGGCAACCATTGTAAGACTGCCCCTTATCATGGAAAGTCCTATATAGTATGACACAAGCAGAATGAGAAGCGTTTCTTTATGTGCTGTCAACAAGTGTGCCATCTTTCAATAAAAACATTTTTTCATTTCAATTAAAAAAAATAAAATACAACAAAACAAGCCTCAAGAGGTTGCTATTACTAAGATTATCTAACTTTAGAAATACATTTATCAAATGTTTACTGTTGAAATACATTTACCAAATTTGCTTTTATGAAACACTTGAAGCTGGATAAACTCTCTGTATTATTTAAATTGATTTTGGAATATCTCCATGTGGGAAAGTTTGTACAAAAATAAAATTTGCCCTTCATAATAATCATTCTGATAACACCAAAAACCACTCAAATACCTGTTACTTAATTGAATACAACCACCCAATGTTTACCACGCTAGTAAAGATTAACTAGTAAGGAACGATAGCAAAAACTAAGAAAAGAAATGCAGCAGAAAAACTTGAAAGTGTCAGAATCAAATTGGTTCGCCTTTGTTCCATGTGTGAGATTCATTTTCAAGAACTGTGACCATAGAAGGAAGTAGAACAAGTCATTACCAGAACATTTGTTTTTTACGCTTTGTTCTACTGGTAAGTTTCTAGTGCCTAGTTAAAACGAAAGTCTAACTGTCTTCAGTTTTACCCATCTATGATTTCAACTAGCCACAATTTGCTAATGAAGAAATAACAGTAAACCAACAAAAACCAAAACACAGTGATCTTTTGTTCGTGAGAATGTACTCTTCAAAGTCTCTGAGGAGTGTGTAATGCTATACACTTTTAGACAAACACAACAGAATTCTGCAAATAGAATGAAACTGAGTAAGTTGGCTTCCTAATGGAATTTTACCTTTTCACTTGGAGTCCAATCAATTTTTGTCATGGAAATTCTTGAAGCAAACACAATCACTGGGGAAAAAACAGCGTAAAGGAAACTATAAAAGTTAATGACTGATAGCAAGAATGTCTGCTTATAAAAATAGATTCCATTTCCCCCTCCTATTTTCCCGTTCTCTAATACGAGAGATCCTGAACAACCAGAATATCACATCAAAATTTTAAGACAGTAAGTAAAGTGTGTTATTAAAAGGGAACGAATGCTAGCAATCAAAACAAATTTCTAAACAAATGAAGGTTTTGTGGAGTTCTTCCAAAGCACTGAGAGTATGGGGAGACATTCCAAAGCATAGCTCAAATTGATGACTGAAGACTGTGGCCACAGAGCCTGGCAATGTTGGAAGGGAAATGAGCTCATTTTCCATAGGTTCACAATGAGGACCTTGATACATTTGTATAATTTTCTCTCAGGATTGGCTCCCTCTTTAAAAATACTTTACAGCTGCTGAAAACAAAAGCAGACTGTAGCCGGATGACATGATAATCTGCTGCAACCAGTTTTTAACACTGGAAGATCACTTAAAATCTAATAATACCAATGGAATTACTCTAATTTCAGCGAGCTATGGCAAAATCCAGTAAGTGCATTGAGTGTGTCTTTAGGAGGCATTTGGTTAAGCCAAATGCCAGCAAACACGAACTAAAGCATCTGCTTAGGCTGGAAGGAAATCTGACGTATGCCAACAGTGTTTAGAGTGTCTGAATTAGATTTTCTATAGAAGTGGAACCCTATATTTTGCAGATCTTCTACAACTCTCTATAAATGGAGGAGGTGGGGAAGCTGGTCTAGCTGACTTCCCGATGTTCCTTCCCATCTGAATTATTGTGTAACCCCATGAAGAACATCAGGGTATTGGTACATCTTTTTGAAATGACTCTGAAGCCTAACTTTATGCTATTAATAGTGTTCTGACAAGCTATCTGCATTATTATAGCGGAAATATTTGAGAGTCCTAAGCAAAGACTGTAACCTCATTTTCATCCTGTATTAGCAATGGTATAACTTCAAAGAATGATCACGAAGGCACAAAGGGAAAGCAGGGGGATACACTATAAAGGATACTGGGAATGAAAGAAATGCATGATATTACAGATATGAGCATCCTTATGTGACACACAAAATAAGTGTTCCATTGTGGGCAGGACTTGTAAGAGATGATAGATTGAAGCGTTATGTATACAACACCACAGCCAAATGCCACCAAAGCTCCTATGTCATGGACGCTGGGAACAGACAACTCCTGGAAAGAGAATCAACACTGTGGTTAGCTGTTCATTTCTACCGTGGTAGGAGGCAGTGAGTCTTGAGAAGATGATAGCTACATTATGCTGAGCATGTAGAAGCAGCAGGAAACTCTCTCTTCTCCAAGTAATCTACATAGAGAAGATGAAAGAAAAAAGAGAAGGAGTAGCCCAGAGGGGTAGGCTAACCTTGAACAAAGCCAACAGGTCAAAGTCAAGCACAGAAAAAGCACAGATAATTTTAAGTGCTGTTCAGCAGTTGATTATTGATGATTACTGTTTTCACAGGCAGGAACTGGCTTGTGTTTTTCTTAAGAGATTCTTATACCTCCTTTTTCCCTTTACTTTGCTGAACATTTTCTTTCTTTAGTGTTGAAAGTTGAATCTGCATTTTTATGGCCACACTAACAGTGAGGTTTCATGGCAGCTGATATGAGCCCTGACTGCTATGGCTTTGTCCCCCATGCTTCAGTGGGCAGTCACAAGGTCTCAGGAAATGAATCAGCAGAAAGATCTTCCACTGTCAATCTCTTGAATTATTCAGCCCTCTTACTCTTACTCTTTAGCACATCAACAGTAACTTTTATTAATTTTCCACAAGTGAAAATATCACTACATGTGGCCTGTATTTTTGTAAAAATCTGAACATAGAATATTCTCTTATTTCAAACACAAACAAGTGAAAAATCTTGTAACGAAACAGTTTGAGATTCCAAAGAAATTGTTGTTGTATTTCTAACTGTTAAAAAAAAAAAAAATAGGAATACTAAGTTACGCTACTCTGGAATCCAGCATCAAAAAGAGAAATTAGCTTCAAATTTATATTTTAATATCTTTTCTGTCTGGTGGCCACTGTTTTTTTTTTCTTTTAATGGGGATTATGTTCACATTTTCTGCTTCAATTTTTTTCTCTTTGCATTTTTTCTACTTATCTCCCTTCAGTCCCTCTGTGATGTATTAAGTTCTGACAAATTTTAAAGCATGTTTCTCACAGAGGCATTGCAGTGGTCTCTCATCTATATTTGGGCTTTCTTCTCCTCTGTCCCACTTTTTGCCTTCCATGCAGAAATGACAGTATTTGGTATAAAAAGCATTCAGCATAACTGCTAGCTTTTACATTCAGCTCTACATACAATATGCAAAGCTTTTCTTGTACAGCTCTCAGTCTTGCTCCTTTCAAGCTGGCACAGCTTCCCTAAGAAACACATTACACATAACTCCTACAGAACTGTAGGAGATCTTGCTACATCTGGTGTGGTAAGCCTGCTAAGTCTTTCAGTCCAAGACAGTGAGATCTCTCTTTAATAATGTTTAATGTCCAAAAGGCAAAAACAAACCTACTGAGACCTGACTTTCTGCTTTGCCTCATTCATTAAGAGCTACAAGTCTTTTCATTCTATATCCAGTTGTATTCTTAAAGCTATCCCTTCACTGTCAGGCATTTCATTATTTAAAATAGAGAACAAACGCCTCATTCATGACCATAACTTATTCTTCCAGAATGTCTTTTGCTTTTAGAGAATTCACTGCTAGGGTTTTCTACAACTCTTATTCTCACTTTTGTTAAGTGTTCAGAGAGCAATGCCATTAAAATCCTATTCTACCTAGCATACCTTACCTTGCAGCAAAAGTGTGAAAAATTTTCTTTGCAGCTAATTATACTGCTTAAAACTCATCATAAGTAGCATTAGATTTGTGTAAGTGTACATCTTACATATACATGAAATACAGCAGTATTTCTGAAGTCTTTTCAATAAACCAGGTATTTTGCTTAGGAAAGAGTGAAAATGAAGTGATGCCCAGAAATGTCAATCAGATCTACTATGATACTTGAGTATGGAGGAAATATATGAGCAGGCAAGGACAGCCAATAAAGGTTAGATAAGAACTTCTGAAACATGAAGAGCAGAATTTCTACTTCCCTTACTCTCCAAATCACTTTGTATGCCTTATGTAGCTTTTCCTTATTAAAGCTGTTTGTTTTATATTTTAGGCCAGCAACACTGCTACCCATCATCTGATTTTTTTTGTGCCACCTATAAATAAATTAAAATAGAGTAATATGCATTGTCTGTAATATTTGCTTTCTACGTGCACTGCTTAGAGGTAAAAATAAAAAAGCAAGATAGCAGTCTAAGACAGAGAGATTAAATAGTTTGAAAACAGCATGTCAATTACATTCAAAAATTTCATTGGCTGATGCCTTCACAATCTTTGTTTTCCATTTCTCTATACTTTGTCAGGTTATTATATGAGCATAGCAGTCTTTACCAAAACATTTCTAAAAGTAGACCATCCTTTGAAGGAAATCTTTTAGCTGTTCCCAAAGATTTAAAGGCAATATCTCAAGCTACTTGCCTGGTATACTTGATTTGACTCTGAGATGCAGAATGTATATGTAAAATATATATATATATAAAGTTGTCTTCTAGTACAAACATGTTATAGGATAAGCACACATTGAGCCCCTTACCTACATAACTGTGCAAAAAAAAAAAAAAAAAAAAATTGAGTTCAGAGGAGTAAACCAAGTCTGTAGTTTTAAAGCTGTTAAAAAGCCGGGAGCAAAAAAGACGTTCTTGCTCCACTTCCCAAATATCCATACTAGGATAATATGAATCATTCCAATCGATTACATTTTTAACTGCTAAAAAACCTTTCATTTTATTTATGATATGAAAATACGATCCTACCTGAAAAGTTGCAACTATGCCCATTCCAGTACAACCCATCAGTCCAATACACAATGAAAACGTATTGCATGAAGACCTAACAAAGCGCAATGATTCATTCTGCTTCTCTATTATTAAGTATCTGATATACATTGTAATTGCACCTGAAAAAAGAAACATTTTTTAATGTTCATACATCTCTTACATTTCTTGCCCTATAACAAATTTACATACAGAATTAAATTATAAGCATTATGCGATAAATAATACTGCCTTTAATTTTGCAACTATTCTTACACATCTTAAACTCAACACTGTATATCAGTGTCATCTAGAAAGAATTTCAAATTGGTTAAAGAAAATCATGAATTTGAAGTACCAGGCACTGGCTTTCCACATTTGGAATAGCTGTTACAGTGAGAAGATCCACAACATGAAAATGGGAGAATTGCTTCTGCTTTGATATATAATTTTGTACTAGAACTACATATTTTAATAATAGACAACCTGAAGAATTAATACATTTTCATAGTCTGTACACAGGAAAAAAAAGTAACTAGCTCTGTATTCAGAAAGTATTCACAAAATTTTGAAGCAGTGTTGACTAATCTTTCATACAACAGGGTCTCCTTTACACACACATTTTACTGCAACCTATATGCAGTTCACTCCTGACAAAAACCTCTATTGATTTAGAAGATCATGGTTCATTAGTGTATAATAAGTAGTAGACCAGATTCCATGAAAAAAGCAAAACTGTAATTCAGTTTGATAACACAGAACATTTCATCTACAGCTAGAAATTAAACCACCTAATGTTGTTTGTGTACTAAGATGTTAATGAAATTCAACTAGACAGTATGACTGAATGAGTCTTTTTGAAAAAGTAAAATGTGGGATTTTACTCTGCATGAAGTCCATCACAAACTCCATACACACAGTCACATAGCTATTGACCCTCCATCCCCTAGAATTAAATAGGAACTGCCAAACTTTCTCATTCAAAATAAGCAGATATACTGGAGGAGTAGGCATCTTCACAGAAAACAAGTGTTGCCTTAACACCGTTTTTTAATACCATCTTTCCTCCACTTCTTATTTCCAGTTACACCAACTACTTTGCACTGATTAAATGCTCTTAAGAGACAGAAGGGCCACTAAGGTGACAGTACTGGCAAGTACCTTGCCTTGTATGGGAATTCCTTATCACTGATATACCATTAAATTGTTATTTAATTGTAGATTATTTTTTCTGCTGAACATTGCATGGACTCCAACACAAGCAGAGAACATTTGCAAGTTTACGTTGCTTTACTGTGTTCAGATCAAATAATTCATACATACCTAAAAGTGCTGAAATATTAATCATAAATCCAAAGATACCACTCTCCGGAGGTTTAGTTCCAGTATCACTAAAGCAAGAAGAGAGAGAAGAAATTTAAGGTTAATTGAGATCTTTAAAACGTAAATGAAATGGACAAATGAAGCCCCAAGAAGTATGTAGCTTGTGTGAACTGCTGTTATGTACGTATCACGTTTGAACATAAAAACTGTAACGTCACTTGCAGCATTCTTTGTAGTACTGAGACTTTGTTTTCAGAAAGAAATCACATATTTTGAGCACAATATTTGAACTGCATTCCTTCTTCTTGTGTATGCAATATGCATAGATGTGTCAGATTGCAATACTTTGATAATAAATTAAATAAATGATTGTATAAATGATATTTTATCCACTGAACTAACACTGTGATAAACTTATCTAACGGCATTCAGTATCCTAAAATGTTAAGAGAATTGAGCTTAATTTCCTAACGTGTTTCAAAGGACCATACCCCAGAAGAGCAGTTGTGCTCCAACACCTGGGAATGTTGCTAGGCATTGTTTAATTTTGTAATGTAGATGTAGCTTAAGAGTACTCTCAGTCCAAGATATTGCAAGCTTCTTTTGCTGAAGCAAATTGTTCTTATAATGGATAATTAGAAGCTCCCTGGGCCAGAGAAATGGAGCGTGAGTGTGAGAATATCCATTCATTCATAAATGAATACATTCATATGAAAAATGTCATCTTTAAAAAATGTATGTTGCCTAGAAAATGGAATACCTTCATCACAGAATTCTTTTCCCTCTTTTCCCTACATAGGAGTTAACACCCATACCAGAGAATGCTTTTGCCTTACAGGACGGGCATACTCCTGGGAGGATAAGGATTCAAGTCCCCTCAAGTAGGACTCTTGAGATTATGTGAGTGCTCTGTGTAAATAAGAATACAGCAATGCCATCACCTCTTTGCATTATTTTTACTTGTCTAAAACACAACCAGTTGAGAATATCTATTAGATAAGACTCTCTTGGTCAAGCCAATAGCAAGTAGGTAGCTCATAAACCCTTAGATAATTTGGGTGTGAACTGAGTTTTCAATCCCTCACCGCTATTGAGAGGCTGTGGTGTAATTTCCTCATGAGTACTAACATGGTTGTGTATTGTAAACAAAGGCACCCAAGGAACACTATTCTCATAAACACAGGGAAGATTTTAGGTAATGACAAAATTCATTGGAAACTGAACATAGACTCTGAGAACGAAACTTTCTCTTAGCTATATGGTGAGGCAAGTAGGTACTAGCTAGAGATTTTCAGTATGTTTCACGAAGTTAAATCCGCTTCATTCCAGCAGAGGCTGGATTAGTTTTCATGCTGAACATCAAAACCTACTGCTGAATGCAGGCAAAATGACAGGATCTCATCATGAGTGCCTGTTCTCTAGCAGCCAAAAGAGAAAACTGTGTCTGCATACGCAAATGCTTTCAAATAAAGATGTTGACAATTTTGTTAACTTCAAGACAGAAAACTATGGCCACAACAAAATATTTATTTGTACTATGAAACTACATTATTATAATTCCCTTGCACGTTATAGAAGCATCTGAGTTATCAGTATGCTGACAGTATGATTTATAAAGAATGGGAGAAAGCTTGGAATGCAAGGAGAACCCTTTTCTACTACATGAAAACAGAACAATCTTTACATACATACAAAACAGAACAATCTTTTAATTCCGTTTGATGTGATAGCTTCCAAATGTTCAGACAATGAAGGCTTGGGACACTCCAGCTTTTAGGCAAGTTTCTATAACTTCTCAAGCATTAAGAACCCCACTCATAGGTATTTTCTTGGTGTAATGCCTTCTAAAGACTTGTTGCAGCTTGTATCCTGTATTAGTTGTTTCTCTTAGGTTTGGAATTGATGAAAAGAATACGGTGATTCTTATTATTTTGTTTGACACTTCTGAAAACCATCTTAATCCTTTCCTTGTTTGGCCTTTTTTAAACTTGAACTTCACATCTTTTCTTCATCTTTCTTGAGTGTTTTCATAAATACAGCTGAGGACTGCATTTAAACAGTGGGCCACTTGTGACAACCTTGAAGGACTTTTGCAAATCAGAGGCTGCTCTATGCTAAGTGATTGTGATCACTTCAAAGCTTTTGAAGGGTGTAGGTGAGAAGAGAATGGAATTGGAACATGTAAAGAAAGCAACCATTTGAAGTTCTTGGAACACTTCACCATAAGAGCAATCCAAATAAGCTGAAACTGCACAGATCTCCAGTCATTTTTTAAATTAAAGCTTTTCTTAAGCAAAATCCTTATAGGTGGTGAATTTTGCAATTGTATACTTTTTAACTCAATGATTTTAGAAGTATGCTTTCAAGTTACTTCATACCGAGAATATTGTATCATATCTGCAATATATTTAGAAAGTATACAATCTTCCTAGTGCCCTAATTTCAACCAAAAATATCCCTAAGACTAAATGAATACTTAGATATATTTTTGTTTTAATTCTGGTCTGTCACTTTGGAAAAAAAAGTTAAAGTATTCAGTGACAGTAACTGTCTTTTAAAGAAAAGGAAAAAAGAAAAAGGCACATGTGAAACAAAAAACTTGTGCTCATTTACTTGCAATTGTGCACAGGTGAGCAAGTCATGGACAAATGAGAAACGCAGTATGAAAATGACAGTATTTGAATCACCAGCTCCCGTAGCAAATTTTTCCAAGTCCAGCAGTCTTCTAAAGTCTTAAAAGAAGAGAAAGTAGAGCAGAAGGGGAAGAAATATTTTAGGGCCAAAAGACTCATCACCATCATCATCAGATTTTCTGTATAGACATCCTAAGTTATTTCACTCCAAACTGAAGACTTACATTTCAAGGTAGGAAGACTATATTCTGACATTGGCACGGTTTCAATGGCAAATGTAAATGTGGTCTTTCTCTCACTGAGGCAGCTGTCACATGATGAACAAATACAGTGAACAAGTTACCTGAAGGCATGCATAGGTTACTTGAGAATTTAAAGAATTTGAGAAATGTTGAACTGAAAATTGTCAATACTTGTCTCCTTTGTCCAACAGGAATTTCCCCATGCAAATTCAAGTTCAGTTAAGATATTGCGCAACTGAAATCTTGCAACATTCTTCCTCTTTTTTTTTATCACATTAAGTTTCACTAAATCACTGAATCCCATGATTCAGATTTTCAGCCCAAAGCAACGATGTGCAAAATAAGTATGAACTATAAATATTGGCCTGAGTACATGGGAGGAACAACAGTATTCCCAAGTGTACCTTCTACAAAGATCATATGCCTGGACCATATATTTTTAGAACTACTTAAAATTCACCAACAGTGTAAAACCTGAGTAAAATGTTGCATTAAAAGCTATTAAAATAAACAAAACATCTCTCTCTCAAAAAAAGATTTTTGCTAGATAATTCAGATGGCCTGAAATATTGCATTGGTTTGTTCATTTGTTTTTTATTGAAAATGTCTTAACTGTCCTGTTGGCTTTTTTTTTTTTTTTTTAAGGTATATGGATATTTATAGTTATTCCTTAGCTAAAGGATAAGAATGTTTTAGGGTGTTTGTTTTGTGCTGTTTTGTTTCATTTTTTCTACTTAGGTATTACCTGCACACAGCTTCTTCTTGAATTAACTGTGGCAGTTAGTTGTGATACCTTCATCAGAGTTTTACATCTGTGTAAATTCTTGATTTGATCTGCAACTTTAAAGAGAATGACACAAGCAACATGTCTGTGCTGTCAAAAACTTAACTGTAAGTATAATTATACATAAAATATGCCCTATTCACTCATGTTTTACTCAAGGACTCAGCATATACTGCAACCATAGGAAACACTATTTGTCAAACTTTTTATTATAAAACCTCAAAGTCGTTCTGAGCACAAACCATGTACTCAGTGTAGACATAGTTACACCAAATGGTTTATTTTTCTTGGATAACACAGGATAAATTGCATTTTTTGTGCCAATAAAACTGTATATAATCAGAGGAGAATGGAACTGTGACTGTGATTGTTGAAACTATAGATGATATTTGCATGTACAGGAGCAAGGCTTTCTAAGAGCTGTATTTGAGTAGATGATCCTAAGAAGGATGACATAAGCATGAAGCTCAATTTTCTTTGGCTTAGTTTGAATGAAGCTCAACTTTCTTGTGGGTTGCAGTGGGTTGCATCACCTAACTTGCTTACATTCACAGACTTAACTTTCAAGCAAATTTAAGTGTATATACAACTCAGGTTAGCAGTCTTACAAAATTGCATGTGTTCATAGATTCTGTCAAGGAATTTGGCATAGATTTACTTTGAAACATGTAATTGAAAAGCTTCTTTAGATATCAAAAACCATTCTCAGATTTCTGTCTCACCTTTATGCTGTTAAGAGACAAATGCTAGTAATTTCCCTATTCGGATTTAAATGTTAACTATATATAAGCAATGATTTATACAAAACTGTGCTTCAATGACTAAGACAATGAGATGGAATGGAATTGAATAGAATGGAAAGGAATTGAATGAATCAGAATCATAGAATGGCTTGAGTTAGAAGGGACCTCAATGATCGTCTAGTTCCAACTCTCTTCCATGGACAAGGTTGCAAACCACCAAATCAGGATGCCCAACACCCCAGCCAACCCAGCGTTGGGTGCCTACAGGAACGGGGCATCCACAACTTCTCTGGGCAGCCTGTGCCAGTGCCTCATCACCTTCTCAGTGGAAAATTTAACCCTAATATCTATTCTAAATCTAGAATCAAATTGAATGGAATGAAATAGAACAGAATAGTGCAATTGAAAGGATTGACAACAATCATTGCGTCCAACAGTCTGATCACTTCGCCACCAGTATCCAAATACCTCTTGAATACTGGTGGGCATGGGACATAAATCACCTTTGCTGCAAAGCCTGTTTCAGTGTTTGATCACACTCATGGTAAAGAATTTTTTTTAGCATCTAGACTGACCAGGTTTCTGGAGACAAGATACTAGAAAGAACATACCGGTCATAGAATAGAATCACAGAATCATAGGATAACTAAGGTTGGAAAAGACCAACCATCAGCCCATCTCCCACCCATGCCCACTGACCACGTCCCTCAGTGCCACATCCACACAGTTCATGAACACCTCCAGGACTGTGACTCCACCACCTCCCTGGGCAGCCTGTACCACTGCAACACCACTGTTTTTGAGAAGAAATATTTCCTAAAATCCAACCTGAACCTCCTCTGGTGCAACTTAAGACCATTATTTCTGTCCTATCACTGTTACGTTGGAGGAGAGGCCAATTCCCACCTTGCCACAAACTTTCAGGTCATTGTAGAATAGTCTCCCCTGAGCTGCTCTTCTCCAGGCAAAACAACCCCAGTTCAGCCACTCCCCATCAGACTTGTGCTCCAAATCCCTCACAGCTCCATTGCCCTTCTCTGGACAACCACTCATTTCCCGGTTAGTCTTCCACATACACTGCTCCTATGGTGCAATTCTTAAAATGCCTACTTTCGTTTCCTAAACAAGCCAGTTGTGTCTCTACAAGTCACGCCATCATCTGTTGCACTTTGGACCAGTTCTGGAGTTTTTCAAACAAACGAGGAAAAACCCTGCATTTACACAACTTAGTACAGAGCATTCAGCACCAGTTTCCCCAGGATCAGGCCAGCAGCACACCTCGGCTCCAGCCAAAACGTCTTCCAGACCCTTTTTTGCACTTCTGCCAGCATGTAGATCCCATGGCTCCGAGGGATCAGGATGTGAGGAGGCAGTGCATGTGAAGTACGGTTCTGCCCGCTGAGCTCCCCGGCAACCCCGACCGTCCTCACCTGATGTAGGGGACGAGCGGCTCGACGTGACCAGCCAGCACGGCGATCACATAGGAGATGATGAAGGCGGCCGAGGACCAACCGACAAGCAGCGCAGGCACGACAGCCACCCCGGGCATAAAGCACAGCATCTCCCGCTGCCGCCCTGCCCCGGGCATCGGAGACCACAGCCACGGGGAGTCACCGAGGCCGCCTGGGGCCGGCCTCACCCTCCCGCCTCACGCGTGTTTTCCGCCTCCAGTTCGCTCGGGGATCCCCTCCCCGCCGCTCGCAGCCTGCCCTTATCGCTTTCGTTTTCCTCAGCGCTCCACGCCGACGGTGCCGCCCCGCCCGGCTAACGGCCGACAGCGGCCACCGGGCGGCGCGGGACGGTGGGCAGCTGGGGCCCGGCGGGAGGCCGTGGGCTTTGCGGTGTGGGTTTGAAGCCCTCCTCTCCCCCTCCCCCTCACTCCCACACACACACGCGCGTTCAAAACGCCTCTGACACACAGCGCGACCTCCTTTGGCACATGTCTGAGGTTTCACTTTTTCACACACTGAGAGGGGAGCAGGGTTTAATCCCAGCTCACGTTGTTCCATGTGCTCACTTTGGTTGAAGCTGAAGCTGTGAACAACTACTCAGGTTTATTTCTGTTTGCTTTGACTGCACGCGTTTGTCTGCATTCTGGACTAACACCCGTATGCACAGTCACTGTTCCCAAAGATGAGTGTGGGTGGTGCTGTGAGGAGCCAGCAGCTGGACTCGATGGTCACTGTGGGTCCCTTCCACCTCAGTGTGTGCTGTGGCTCCGTAGCTCCATAACCCATAAACATCTCATGTGAGTTCCACTTTCTGTGGAAGTTGACCAGAGAGGTTGTGGATGCCTCATCCCTAGAGGTGTTCAAGGCCAGGTTGGTTGGGGCCCTTGGGCAGCCTGGTCTAGTATTAAACGGGGAGGGTGGTGGCCCTACATGTTGGCAGGGAGGCTGAAGATTCAAGATCCTTGAGGTCCCTTCCAATCTGGGCCACTCTGTGATTCTGTGAAGTTCCCTATACTGAAAGCATCGTAAGGCAGCAGCTCAGGACTCCCCCAACCTTCAGAGACACAAGGAACCAAGACACTCAGGACAGCACACCTGGGCGTAAGTACAGAGCAGTAATGGCACAAACTGCTCTACAGTCAAGACTGTGGATATGCTGAAGGCATATCGAGTGCCTTTTGGAATATCTCATACTGCTCATACTCTTCAGGTGTAACTTGAGTCTAATAATTCACTCATACTTCATGATTTTGCTGGAGTACTTTCGCACACACAAAATGCAGCCCATCCATTTTCATGGTGGCTAGTTCAGTACTGCTCTGCAAGAGGGGTGTTTTAGATGTAGGAAAAACAAGGGCTTAAAAAAATAAAATAAATCGCAGTTAATCTTTCCATAGCTCGTCTGTCTCAATAATTGCAAGTAGCAGAAACTGTCTTGCAATGTGTTTATTTCCTTGTAAGTCAGAAATGCAAAAAAATAATGGGTGGAAATTAATATTTCACCTGCCTTAATATGCACTGCTATTAAGTTTTGTGTTACCCTCTATGACAGGTAACCTTGTTTTGTCCTTTGAAACAAAAGAATACTGTTCAGGCACTATATCCAGACTCTGGTACAGTGAGCATGTGTCAGACAACAGAAATACACTGTCCATGTATTAGACTGCAGAAGTGTATTGAGGTTTGCTTTAATTACAGAAATATATGTATATATGTATATATCCATCAATAACTGTATATGATTTTGGTTCTTTATAGATCCAACACCACATAAGTGTCAGTGTAGGAGACATTGTTGGAAAAATGTTGAACATTTCATCCCCTGTTCTGCAAAACTATACTAAACCACTAAACTAAGTGGCAAATAGCTCACTCTCAAGTGAGAGTTAAGTACTTAAATTCTTCACATGACTTTTTGCAGTGCTCGGGCATTGTTTGGTCTGAAAGCAGGTGGCAGCTTGCTATTTGATGATCACTAGCAAAGGCACTTTGTTGCTATGTAAACATTTATTATTGCTCATGTGATACATTTATTGCAGGAAGTAGTAAGAGCACAGAATTTGAAAGTGATGATCTTTGGATTGGTTTTGTCAGTGGCATTTTTACATAGTTTTTTACGAGATCATTAGCAGTTGCAAGGAGTAATAAAAACAGATTACTTACAAAGTTGAGGAGGAGACATTTTATTTACTGAGTTTGATAACATTAGTATGGTATTTCAGAGAATGTATTTTGATTTATTGCGCTTGGGACAAATTTTGTTAAAGCTCCAGCATGAGAACATGGTCTTTAATGTTACTGCTCTGGATTTAACAAAATGATTGAATTACTTCCTAAATATATGCAAAACATTGGTATAAATTTTCATTTGCCAGAGTAATATTGTATTAGAATTACAAGAAAAATAAAGACAGGGTGTGCAAATATTTGTGTGAGCTGAAAGCAGAGATCTAAGTAAGAGATCTAAAATAGATCACACTGCTGGTAGTTGTATATCTACTTCTATTTCATTTGCAGTCTTTTTTCCATTGGTTTTATATTCATTGAATATTTACATCTATAATGAACATAAATAAAAGTAGAAGAATATTTTCTTTATCACATTACCTTCCAAGTAAAGTCAAGTAATTTCTAATAGCTAAGTTGCATAAGGGATATTCAGTGCAAAGTGTAAGAACTTCATTTATTTGTTCTATCACCTAAGTAGCACTCTTTGCTTTTTTGAAATACTTTGTCCTAGAATAAATTTTACCTCAGCATCTCCAACTTGAGGCCTTTTATATATTGATTTTTAAACATCTTCTCATTCTGCTCCTCTTGAAGTCCGTAACTGTATTTTGATCCCCCAAAATGTACTTGTTAGTTGAATGCACACTTACTGCCTTGTGGGTATGCAAACTATTTATTTGTCACTGGAAAAAAAAAAAAAAATGCTGAAAGGTAATCCCTTTCCAGCAGAAACATGCATAGATAAAACTAACTTGGATGGAAGGGCTGGTTTGAAGGGGCAGGTACTGAAGCAACAGCTGGGCAATCACTTTTTCTAGCTGTATAAACATCTCAACCAGACTACTGATAAAAAAAAAAAAAAGTGCTAAATACTTGCATATCACTTCTCTGGTATTTGTGTCTGTCAAACACTGACCATTTTTTGTCTTGTGAATCCTCTCTTGTGAGAGGAGCTGAAATAGACATTGCTGAGGTCTTTGTTCCATCAATGTGGCCTTGATACCAATTTCTTTAGTCCTTCCACTTTGTGATCTAAAACTCTGTGCTGCCTGAGAAGTCTGCATGCACAGCTGCTGTGCTTTTAAGGGCAGTTCTTGGGAAATTAGTGTGTTTGGGCAAGTAGTAGACATCAGAGTGATCTTGAGCTCAAAAGATTCAGGTTACTGTAGTTGAATAAGTCAAAGAAGTAAGATAGAAGTTCTGAATACATCCCCTTCATCTGTTTTTACATAGCTCATAAGCAGCAACCTAAATAAATTGTGTAAGCTGCATAGACAAGAAAATTATTAAAAAAAAAAAAAAAAAAGGTGCGGGAGAAGATAGCTGAACTTAGATTTTGAAGGAGATCTCCATAAAAATGAGAAAATACTGTCCACAGTTTTTAATTTCAAGATCATTTGTTGTAAAGCAATGTGGAACACAAAAGACCTTCTTAGAAGTCACTCCCTTCCTGGATAAGTTGGTCTCCATTACTTTGGTTAGTTTTCAGACAGATTCTGTGGAGAACTGTTACAGTAGCTTCTTCCTAATTTGGTAAGGAAGTTGCTGGAAGAGGTAAGAGAAATGAGAACATAGCAGCAATGGAAGTCTGCAATTTGAACAAAGGAGAAGCTAAGTACTTTGGTTAATTTTCAAAATCTCGTTTTTTACTATGCGGAAGCACAAGGAATAAAACTGTTAGCATCTCAGCAGCCTTGACCACTGAATGCTTAAAAATTATTACCAAGACGTGACAATCCTTTAACAAACACTACAGCAAAACCAAGTGATTTTTCTCTGACATCTGTACTTTTAAAATGTGAGTAAAGGATCTGTCCCAGGCATCCTCTGGCTGTAATGCACAGACATTCAAAAACCCCAAATAAAATTGGAAATATTTATATATATATGTATGTATATATATGTATATCTATCCTTGTGGTTTCACCTTTTCCTTAAATTTGAGAGAGTTTCTGGAGTAAAAGAGAAACAAAAGGCTCTAAAATATTTTGAATACAAAAACAAGGCCTGCACATTTTAAACTTAGAGATTATTTCTGGGGCTTATATATAAGAAACTAGGTCCAGATGTCTAGAGAGATCCTCGGCAACAACATAGCCTTTGGAATTCACAGACTTATGGCTGCTCATAAGCAGAACTACATCTTTCCAGGGACCAGAGGGAGAAGAGGAAGTTTGTTGCTTTTCTAAAGAAAAGCAATGGATGGTTAAATAGAATAAGGAGGGTGCAAGAGTTGCGCAGCAGCTGGGCACCACTATGGTAAAGATGATAATGGCTGGAAAAAAATCAAATAAGTTGCCAGACGTAGGTTGTGCCAGAATTGGACATTTAGAGGAGGAATCAGATACACACTACCTGTGACTTCTGCAGAAGGCTTTATGAAGAGTTCAGGCTGGCTTGTGGTACCTCTTCATTCTCAGTCACATGCCAAAGTTCTGCTACCTTCTTAGTAATAAAAGCATATATCTGCAATCACTTATGCTGTGAGGCATTTATGATATTGTATTAATATTTCAGACAGGCAATATGTTTTAAAATAGTTGTCAGGTACTAACAAAGATGAGAAAATATGTATTGCTCAGTTTGTTCTGGTTTCCTATATGGTTAGCTAGACTGCTATATCTAACCAGATGTCTAACCACAAAGCAGATAAAGTCTTTTCCACTCTCAAAAAAGAGCAGACACATCAAAACTATTGCAAAGTCCATTAAGAACTAGGAGAGGTAACTCCTGAGTTGCAGTTGTACAGTTTTCTACCTGACAGTAGCCTGATATCAGTAGAACTGATATTTCCCAACAATACTGAGATTGGGTAAGTTTTAGTCCAGAATTTCTGGAGAAGACTAACTCTCAAAAGGTATGTTTTTAATTCATTTACTCTCTATTTTTGCTGTACAGTTGAAAAGTGATGGTTTTCAAAACAAAGGTATTAATAGGGTAAACCTTAGCTTCCAGAAAGCACAAGCTGCAGACTTCTGTGGGCTACCAGTAGCAAGAGAGAGATTATTCAGCT